ACGAGCCATTTCGCATTGCTCCGAGCAGCTCGACTGCTGTGACTACCGCTATCGATGCGGACGTGGTGCTTGAAATTCCGATGTCTCTGTTTGTGTTCACAGACTGGATTGTTTCGGCTCTTCTCGACGATTTTCCATTTTGTGCTCAGACTAATCGAAATTCGACATTGGTCTCAAGTTGTTGCCTGTAGACACTGTCGTTTAGTTATATGCACCAGATCATCACTCCCGACTAGTTCGCGCGCGCGCGCACCTGATACTGCAAAAAACAGATATAACAACATAGCCTTTCCGGATCAACATGTGAACTTGTCTATTTCAATAGATACGAATTGATTTCCGACTCCGCATACGTCCATTTGTGTTTCTCAACTAGTTCCTAATGTTGCACTGAAACGACTGATCATCAAGTGTCAACATTAACAAGGCGTTGGCTTACTTTTAGGCGATTTTCTCCCAACGTGAAGATAAAATCAGATTCGTTTAGGACTCCACTACAAATCTGGGAAGTATATGTGATCAGTTCAGTTCATTGTCCATGCATTTTCATGCGTCGGTTTTGGTTGCTGTGTTTTTGCTGTTCATTTGGATGAAATAGCAGAATGAAGATTGGAATGTTCAAAGCAGAGTCGAAGAGAAAGAGAATTCATATAAACTGGGGTTGCACTAAAACCACTGTTTGTAACACCCAACCATATCACTCAGTGTCGCTACCCATCGGTTACCATGCTCTCGGAGTCCCCATCCAGGGAGCCTAGCGGGATCTATGTGACCCAGTGTCCTGGTTAGGGTTTTCAGCGTATTCTATGGAGGTCGATCACTTGCTCTAGTGGATGACGGCAGTTACCTAACGCTCTACGCCTAACCTCGTGTAATGTGACATTGTAGAAAAATGCATTAAGAGTAGTACTTGACCTTTTCCTTCTAGGGTACACGTTTAGCCTTTACACAGCTTGTAGGACTAGTGAGTGAGTATAATAGCCGTATTTGTTGGTAGGTCACAATCCCTCACATCAGGATGTTTTATACGGACTTTTGTTGCAGCTGGATTGTTTGCCAAATGAAAACCCTCTACGTCCTCCATAGTCAAGGAGGCTAATCCACGGCCGTATGTTCATCTATTTCTTGTTAACCACTCAATTGGTTTTCTCTCCATTCATAACCTGGAGACAACCCGCGGCGTACAAGTGCGTTAGTTGAGTAACTAATGGAATCGGTATTGACACTTAAACGGTTTTGAAAGTTTTACACTTGTTTAGAGCAGTGCAATTAGCTTAAGAGCTACCGAAATTATTGTTTACGATGAATTCAATAGATTTTACATGATTTCTTGGGTTCAGACTGTTTTTTTTTCTTGTCTTCGATACAGTATATGATTTATTACCGCTTGGTGTTTTAGATTCAGCTAAGTCTGTTCAGGTATAGGATCACTAATAGTTGATGTGTGGTTGAACCATGATGTACAAACTTGTAGTGCCCTGTTATGTTAGACGTAGGCACAAACTTGTGGGGGGTGTTCGTGTAACCGATGAATGACATCACCCAAAATGTTGTGATAAAAGGATTCTCATGAATTCCGATGTTTAGTGCTAATAAAAAGGTTATTAAATCAGAACATGGAACTTGGCTTTCGCTGGGTGCTATACGACATGAACGATGCAAAATGTAATAATATTTTGATTGGATCTCTTCCAGAATTACCGGGGAGCAATTTGATAAATGTGATATGACTTTAAATTGCGCGATTCGCATAGGTATCTAAAACATCAGATCTGATCTCAAGGAACATCCTGACAATGTTGCTAGACCACGTAAGTTCTTGTGATTTGCCGACAACTGGAGTCATCTAGTCACCACTGCGTGTCTATTGGCACTTGCACCTTATCAAGTGTACGGGGTCCTCTGGTAAAAAAAGAATAATACATTATTTTATTTAGACTGGTAGATAAGTGAGTGGGGACTAACAAAACATCAAGGATGAAAATGTGTGCAGATTCGGAAATCAATGTCACATTTTGATCCAATGGGCATACCGTGCGCATACTCACACGATAGGACATCGTATGTGGCTGACAAGTCAGAAACAGAGAAATAGAAAGGCACTGGTGGTAGAATAGCACCCCGGAAAACAACATATATCTTATGTAGGCAACCATTTTAATGTACTTCTGCTACCCCTGAAGTCTACCTGCGTTTTGAAATTGCGCTTCCTGATAATTTTGTTTGCAGAGCGACCTCCCTCAGAATCTGATCGGCCGGGCATCTCCGAAACGGAACAATTGATTGCCGTAAGTCGTACCTCGTTTAAGAACAAGAGTCTTTGTAAAAGTCCAGTTTCAACCATCTACAAAGTAGTTCGATCAATCTTATGTGGTATATCCAGTCCCCTTTTAATTGAATAGTTTTAGTGTTTTTTCGTTAGCTTTCCAATCCTTTTCATGAATGCTATCTGTTACTTTTTTCAGTGTATACTTATTCTGGATTACCAGCAAACAGATGTTTTATCCTCAAACTCCGCAGTTAATTGACATGCTTGCAACGCTAGGACCCGATCCCGATTCTGTTATTGGTAGATAGTATCCCAAAAGTCAGTGCTCTAGAGCTCTGGAGTGTAGTGTTTTTCCGAAACCAATGCTTACTTATCGGGTAGTCCTAATGCGTTCAAGTGAATTTTCACGGGCCTGTTAATTCTTCTGCAATCTCACTCCAGTAATAGCTGGCTGTCACATCCGACCGAACACATGCTGAATTGTAATTGTAAAGCCTAAACCCATGTGCACACTCCACAGTTGAGCACAATGTTGAAGGCATCGTTTGCCTGTGAGCAGTTGTTCAATGAAGTGATTGTCCGCATATAATTAAGGAATCTCCGGTCATCAGGTGCCGTTACTGAGCCGTATTCTGCCGTCACATTCAAAAATCTTCAACGGAAACTGTTCCTTCTTAATAAGACAAAAGAAATCCTTTTTATGATCTGTGTAGACAAGATTATGAATCATTCGAACACAATTATTCGCCTTTGGATTTGTGTGCTGATATTACAATAGGTTTATTCTGGAATTCGAAAATGAGTTATTGAACGTTGGATTTGCCTGTGCTATTAATCATCACCGCTCTACTCTTATGTGACACCTGTCTTCTTTTCTACATACACAATCAAATAATCCGTTCACAGATCCTAAGCAAAACCAAGTATGCTTATGACGCAACCGGAACTTGTCTCTCAGCTGTTACCAGATCAGTATGCTGTGTGCGAATTTTTTGTCACTGTATGGGCTCGTTTGTTTGTAAGACGTTGCTATTGGTAACTCGATGATTTGTCCTGAAACCGTGACTTACAAATCGGTCGTTAACTTGACAGAAATCAGTGAAGTTCGTCTGACTATTTCATCTGAAGTTGATCATAATAACAATTTCATTCTCGATGCTAAAGTGTTATCCGGAACATCTGACAATGTAGGCTGGTCCTGATTTTTCACATCTTTTATTACCAGTAGCTCGTCCACGTGGTTCTGGGGGGGAGGGGGTAATGGTCTAATAATAAGCAAGTTAACCAAACTAATCGAGCCTTGAATTTCACCTTACAGTACTGATTTGTTTTCCTCCGACTGATCATTCGTCCACTATCTGGCTAGTCGTCGCTCATTATATATCGATTATTTTTAACGATCATATTCTTAAATTTAATGTTTATCGAAATATCGTATCCACTAAAAAAACATACTGGTATCGCCTCTTTTCCGCTGCCGCATGTATACACACACAAAAGACCTTGTTTTTATCTCACCTTGTAGAAATTCGCTCCGAGTACAGATAATTCCCGACTTCAGTCCGCTGTGTCCGCAGCTCGTGGTGCTCCCGTCACAACTGAGCCAACCGAGTTCGAATGGCTCATGCGAGCTCGCCGACCGCATGGTCCATTTATGTCCGTTATGTCTGCACGGTTGAAAGCTCTGTCCACAGTTCGCGTCATGTGGACCAGGGACAACACACGAACCGCCGTGGAGACTGCGCTCACCCTGAACGAACCGGCTGTTCTAATCGATTTGCTCAGTGTACTTGCCCAGAACGAGTAGGTTCAATCTGAATTGTTCTGCCGTTTTCAAGCCCCATGTGTGTGGGAGGAGAGAGAGATGAAAGAAGTTCACCGTTTACATAGACGTTTATTTGTTCAACTCCTCAGTACCCTAGTCAATTCATGAAATGTGTCTGGATATGAAAACAATTTTGGCCAGTTTAGCAGATCGTTTTCATTGTACTCCACAGTTGTGGAGTACAATCCCAAGCACTTGATTTGTATTTATGTGAAGTGACGCTTCTATCCTACAAAGTTGAAATGGGAAGGCTCACAGAAAACTTCATGGTGGAAGTGTATTAAGTTAGGTAAGTTTTGGGTGACCTGCGGCCAGGATGTGTGATACACCTAGCTGAGCAAGTGATCCAGTTGTTGACCGTCTCCGTAGTAACTCGCTCAATGCCACATTTGTGTTACTGGGCTCTTCAAGTTGTTCACCACCCAAAAACAATAACCTTCCGGTGGTCTTCACCACAAAACAAGTTCGCGTACTTATGAAATTATCCCCTCCCGTTCTCTTCTATTTGGCAGTATGCAATCACACACGGTTGGGGGAGTTGGTTATGTAACTAATCGGTCCCATATATATATGCATCATTCTTAATGTGGTACAGAGGAATGATAGTGGATAGTAGAAAAATGGATGGGATGTCAGCAGTACTTGTGAGGCTCCTCATGGTTCCGTGAGACTAAGTTGAAGACAGCATAGACTCCACCACTTGGTCTGTGTCAGGCCTCCAACCAGCGACAGTTATCAACATTCATGCCTCAGTCGGAAGAGGCGATTATCGCAGTGATTNATTTGCTTTCCTACTGCCATACCCTAATAAAGTCTTCATTCTATCCTAATTTGCATTTTTGCCCTTATTTTATGTACTCAACACTGAGAGCTCAGTGAAGGTCATGTTTCGGGTATTCCATTCAGCTGGTATCCCAATCAGTACTCACCACTGTGCTTTTTTCTCTCATCCTCTGCTGAATTATAGAAAACTGTGGAATTTGGACCTGTGTCATGCACTTCTTCCACATTTGGCCGAGTCGGTACGGAGCAAGTACACTACGTGAGTTTTTTTCTAACCCAGTGTGCGTGACAACACTCTGCACAATACTCCTTTCGGCTTCAAGTGAATTCGCTCTACACATGCTTAAACATTGCTGCGATGGAAAATTTCCAAAGCAGTAAATC